TTACATAGTGTCAGGTGGAGCACAGGAGTTCAGTTGGTTTATTTCATTTGACTTGCATAGCTAGCAATTTTGTTCTCCTTGCAGCAAGGGTAACAATTTTGTGCCACATTCATTTTACATATGCAGTGCTTTTGAGCATTGTGCTCGCACACCTCATAAGCTGCTTAGTTAGCTACGTCAGCTGCGTACAGCACCGCCTTTCTTCAGGAGCATCAACCTTTTTAACTCCAGACTCCTTTCTGCGCGTGGGTCACCAGCGCTAATTGTGTAGCAATCGTCTCCGGGTAGCACATCTGTATTGCTGTTATTGGTATTGTGTATGCTTGCAGCTATGCATCCTAGATGCACTGTATATACTGAGGCAAAATGAAAGTAAGTTCTAATAATTCTGGGTAAACTTAAAAGGGTTTGATGTATTTTGCTTTGGTTAAACATATGTATAGCTTCCTCTCTGCCCACAAGTCAGTGTGACCACTGCACAAGTAACAGCCAGTTCTCTGTATTACCTGTTTTCCTTATTTTAGATTCACCGGTAATCTCCATATGAGCTTGGTGAAGTTCAAAGAAATCTTTGCACTGATTTCAGAACAAGTAGAATTATATCCTTGAATATAAAGTCTTCTTGTCAGGGTGTGAATCATCTTGTGTATCTCTGTGAAGTCTTGTGTTTCTGTAGAAGTGATAAATCACACAGAATGCCTAATCACTGGCATCTCTGAATTCCCTCCAGTTAGTGTGACTGATTTGTTTATGTGCCATCTTTGCCAGACCAGTGAATTCCCCCTCACCTCACCCTGTCCCAGTGTGACCCTCAGCACAATTAGTGTTGACAAGTACCATCACGCTGTCTGTTTCTCTGTGTAGTGTTCAGGTGCTTTCCATCCTACAGCAGTATGGCTGGGCATGAAATCATGATGAAATTACAACTAATACAAAAGGTGACAGCCTGTCTCCTTAGCAACCTGGGCCACTGTGTGCACGTAACCAGCCCATGCTGAAGTGAAAGACTTGATGCTTATCCCCATGGTGTTTACTGGCAAATCTCAAGATTAACTACATCACCCCCTGAAGCTTTGGCATGAACATAGTGTTTGCAGCAAAGCAAACTACCTCCTCTTTTTTGCTTGTACAAGCAGGGGAGGATTTTGCTGGATATAAAATAGGTACAGATGTGATGATGTCTTCGCACGAGGTAGAGAAAGGAAGTAGAGTTTTCTTCAGTTGCAGATCATTTCTTCTGGGCACTCTGTCTTCATGCCCCACTGGGCAGAGCAGGCATCAGCAGTGCTGAGAAGCACTCTCAGCTCCAGAACTCCGACCAAAAAGGACAGATGTTTCCAAAACATAAGTATCTGTGAATTCTCGCTAGAGACAGGAACATAATAAAAGATAAGTCAATGGCATTTTTCCTTTTTGTATTTGGCCTTTAGAGGTTTTTGCTCTGCAGGGAGTTGCAATACTTTCCAAGGCAAAACAGGACTGGGGCGTTCCCAAGGACTTAGCTGGTAAGCTATGACTGAGAGAACTCCTTCAGATTTCAAGGTAGAGTATTATCTGCTAGCCAACATATAAAGCACACTGCCAATGTGCACCTTTCGTCAAGGAAAAAACTATAAAATTTGATTCTTGCTTTAAAAATTAAAATTAGTGGCATTTGTGTTTCTCTAAGTGGTGCATAAGTTGGTAAGATTCTAATAATAAATCCCACAGAAACTGCAAACTTGTTTCAAACCAGAGTGATCATTAAATTCATATACATGCTGCATACTCGATGTCAGAAGAACAGCTCATTTTGTATGTTTTCTGTGAGGCTGGTCTCACTGGAGTCAAGCTAACTGTCTAAAACATGCTGGGTTGCATGGTGCACTGGCTGAATTTTTGTAAACAAAGAGAATGTAGATTAAGTGCCAGTATTTTGCCATAGTGTCATTTTACTCCTATGTACCATATTTACTGGAGATGTAGCTGTTAGCTGTGGAGCAGAAGACATACAGAGATGCGTTATGCATTCCTTTTTGTTTGGCAGGTAGTACATTGTGAAGCTGAGAAAAGCTCAAAGACTTTTTTTCATTTTTAAAACAGCAGTTGCAGCATACTTTCTTTTCCCCATCCATTATGAGTGCAAAGCCTGCAGATGCTCATTATTTTAGTTAGCTTGTTAAACTTTCTAAGACTGAGATAAATAGCAAGTTTTGCCATCGGCCTGTAGTTAGAAGCAATTGTGATATGATTATAGAGGAAAAAGTGGTGGTGTCTTTGAATATGGGAAACCAGCTATGTTTGTGGCACTGCAGACGAAGTCCACTGTGACCTTGAGCAGGTCCTTCTTTTCCTTCCCTTGAAAGTGAAAATACATTCCTCTGCATCATAAAGTTTGAGAACAAATAGATAAATAGCTGCAAAGGACTCAGCACACTGATGAGAACCAGGCAACTTCTGAGGTAGTCACTTCCAGGAGATGGGCTCTAGCAGCTTTTTAACCAAGCAGATAAATATTTTTCATGTGTTAAAAAAGGAAGGAGGACACATTGCATTTAATTAGTCACATATGGATAAGCTACTTGCAACTTCGGAGTCCTGGCCTTGGAAGCTGACTTGCATGTTTTGGTTTTTGGTTTGTTTGTTTTTTTTTTTTTCTGAGGAAGTGTCCTTGAGTATACAGATGATTTGGGGAACTGTATAAAGAAACAAAAATAGTCAAGAAATACAAGCTTCCCTTTCAATTTCTGAGCAAAACTGCAATGAAGGAAACTCCAGCCAACACCAAGTATGGCCTCTTTAGAATACATTATTTAAGTATCTGTCTCTGATGGATCTCCACACTGACGTTCTTACAAGTTTTTACATCAAATTTGATTTCTTTCTTTCTCTCTAAGGCATGGTATAAGGGAATGAAATTATCACATAGGCCTCTGAAATAAGGGTGGTGGTTTAAAGCGCTCTGCTTGAGTTGCGTAGAATCTATCTATCTACTGCACAGTAAAACTCATCTTTTTTAAGAGATAGAGGAATCTCTGGGATGAGATCCAGCCTATAATGAACTCTTTGAACTAAGAAATATTTCAGAGCTTTCACTTAAGACATTCTGTTGAAGAGAAAGGAGACAGGAAAATGATCTTTGTGTGACAACTTTGAAAAAACACCTCATTGGCTAACAAAACTCTGCCTCTTCGAGTTGAAGAAAAAAATCCCTGAACCCTCTTTTGCAGTGCTTACTTTCATTTTTCCCCATTCTGTTTATTTGATAGTTGATGTATAGGGGAATGTGTATGTATGTTTTTCTTAGATGGTTTGTAGACATTTTGCTGACCACTTTATCATGTCTTACAGATCACCAGTGTTCCTCAGTCAGTAGTTGAGAAACACTGGTCTAATACTCTATAAGATTCTTTGACATTACGGCAATAAAGGGGAAATACCACTGTCAGTAGGGTATGAAAAGAAATTTCTTTGGCATACTAACCTAGAAAAATTGAGGAGGAAGAGAGAGATCTCGACACTTGTCAAACCATTAATAGAAAATTCAGGAAAGGTCTTAATTTTTCTGGACTGATTTGCTCTAGGAAAAGAACTGAGCTATTAGTATATAGCAAAGGAATTAACTAATGTCCAACTTTATTGCCCTCCCTCCCCAAAATACATTTTGGTATTATTTTAACTAGTATGTTCAACACCCCTGATTTCTGATAAAATAAGTTATGAGTGCTGTATGATGGGGTCATGAGTCCCAGAGTAAGAGACGGACAGGTCCTATGGGCCTGCTGGATAGAATCTCTACGGGAGGCAGGAAAGCCTCTGTTTGTTAGTGCAACTTATGAGTGCAACTTGAGAAAGTAACCAAGAGGTTAAGCTGGAATCAGCAGCTTCTCCACGAAAGGTTTTCTTACAGGAGGCTGTGAGTGGCTTTCTGCCAGCAGCTACCTGGGGTGCTGACTTGCATGTGGCATCTCTGCAAAGCGTTGTCCCAAACTGACACCCTAACACAAGAACTAAGATGTAATACAGAAGTAAAAAGAAAAAAAAAAAAAAAATCTCTTCTAGAACATAGGTACAGCCACCCTAGGACATGCTGTCAGAAGTTCTGTTTATCTTAACTACAAGTTAGTAACAATACTTAAAACCATGGAAAAAATCACAGAAGCCATTACTAGCAATATGCAGGGATCTGATAACTTTTCAAAGCAGTTGGTCTAATTGATGAGATTTGGGAAGACAAACTCAAGACAGGATTCCAAATCATGATAGAATAAAAGGCAGTGAAGCTGCGATTTTTGTCTTATCCCTTTGCAAAGATAAGGGCTAAATTTAAACGTGAGTTTGAATCTCATATTTAGATGCAGAATTGTTTCCAGCTTCTATGAATAGTTAGCTTATGATTAGAAGGCAAACAGTGGGTTAGCTGGAAGTGTGTGTCAAGTTTGTGATGTAAAACAGTTCTGATGTCCGAGGAGAGATTCCTGTTAACTTCAGTTTTTCTTAGACAAAGTACATGGTATGTTAATGAAGATTTTTTTAAATTACTTAAATCTAGTAGAGACAAACTAAAAAAAAATAAAATTGGCAGAAATGACTGATGGAATATTCTTATCTAAAAAACAGCTGTGCAAATCAGCCTATCCTCATGAATAGTCATAGAAGTTAATAAGAATAACATCAATAGGGTTCTTTGCTATTGTAATAGGTTTCTGTAAGAAGTGCTTTCAAAACCAAAATTTAGCAGAGTGATGTTCTTTGTATAGATATTTGAAGCATCCAATGGAGCTTAATGTATTTCAAAAAAGAGGGAGATTGTTTTTAAAGAAAACAAACCTAAGAGAAGTTCTAATTTACTGTTACATTTTCGTGGGTTTTTTCCTAACTGGGGTATACAGGCAAAGATATGGATTTGAAAGGTACATAGGATTTTAGACATGACTCAAAAAAGTATTTTCATGTCATACTAGGATGGCGTGAATTGTACATTAGGTTAAAGCGTTGTTTTCTCTGCTTTTTTCTGATAGGTCATTGCTTGTGAACAACAGTATGACTACTCATATGATGCTCGATGTGACGTATGGTCCTTGGGAATAACAGCTATTGAACTGGGGGATGGAGACCCTCCTTTATTTGACATGCATCCGGTAAAAACCCTTTTTAAAATTCCAAGGTATGGCACTAGATGGCTCTCTTTACTCACCAGTTTGTTCAAAGGCAATCTAATCAAAGGAGAAAGAAATATTTAGTAAACGTTTGTGCTTCAAATCCTAAGTCTCTTATACGGAAAGACATTAAAAAGCTGTAATGTTAAAGATGGGGTTTTTTTCAGCCTGACTTCTATAATAATTTATATTTAGAATGCCTTGAAATGATAAAGACATATTTATTTTATTCTTATCTTAAAATATAAAATCATATAATATCAAGGTACCTCCCTTCTTCAAAAGTACTTCTCTTAGCTACTGTTGATGAAAACAGTTGTTTCAAAAGAGGAAGAGGCCAACATTTGTAACTGTTGAATAACATTTTAAAATTTTATTCCCCTAGAGTCTTAGGCTTGTTTTATTATGGGAGAAAAACGACACAATTTTGACAATGCTATGAAGCAGTCTGGCAGTTTCAGCAAACTGTATTCATAATTTATTTTTTCATTTATCCAAGGATGTTAAAATGTGAAGATTTGGATTGTCATACGTGGATATGAAAAAGAGCTAGAAATTCCCTCTATGTATAGTCATGTAAATTAGCTGTATTATTTCATGCTGTCTATTTTTGGTTTCATTTTGTTGAGCCTTCCTGAATAAGTTGAGATTGACAGTGTAAAATAGAGTTTAACAACAGAACAGTTGTAATAATGGAAGAAATATAGAAAGAATTTGTCCGTTATTGATTAAACTGGCATGTACTTGTCTTTTCCACATTTTGCTCATAAAGAAAGAATCGCCACTGACTGATAACAGTTGAAAACCTTCAGCAATACAAGTGTTTGACCTTTTGTTATCTTCACAGTTATCACAGGCTTATAAAATTTCTTCTGATTGCAATTTGCATTTCTGATTAAGTCTGTCTATATGCAGATGCAGTTGTGCTGGGTTCTGCGTCATATAGTTATCTCCTTCTTCCCAGCTGAGACATGAACTGCCACCAGTCTTTGCAAAATTATTCATACTGAAGCAGCGGTTCATCTTGTTGCCTTTGCACAAGTGTAAAACAGGTCCTGGCAATTAAAGCAGCAAGGGAGGCTTCAGGTTACTAAAGCAATCTATAAATTTTTTCAATGCTCAAAACAGTTGAAAAGGACAGAAGTCATACCAAAAGTAACAGCAAACAATAGGAAGACACATAGAATAGGGCATGTAGAGGCTTTGATTTCTATCTGTAGTTTACCTCTTATTTGCTGTTGCATCTCTGTATGACTTAGCAAAACAAAGGTGAAGCATCTGATTAATTTAATAATGGGTATGTTTACTAAATAGAATGGTAGCCATTTTTAAGTTGAGAGATTTCCCTCTGCTTTGCATTTTATGAGCTATAACCCTGCTGCTGGTAACTGCTTTCATACTAGATAAAGTGGACTATGATGAGTACTGGGTGGCATAAGGGCCTGGGGTATAGGACATAGAGCTTCTCTCCTGGTGCTTGTTTGAAGTCAATTCAGAGGGACAGTAAATATGACCAAAAGGTGCATTCCCCTCTTATAGTAGTTTGACAGTTTAGAAGTAATCTCAGTGGAGTTCCTGATATCTGTGCTGCAATTCACACATTTTTAACAGCGTTTTCAACGTGAGCATTGAGGCTCTTCTCAGGTTTCAACTTTCAAGTGGTTCTTCCAAGCACTGCCTGTTGAGTGCTCGAGCAGTGACATATAGAAGCATTGCAGCTCACCTTCTGAGACTGTTCAGTCCAAAATCCTCTGAGCTCAGGGACCTGGCATCTTTACACTTTTTGCTTTCATGATAATACCTGTGTCTGAAGCTATAAATGCAAATGTTAAGCCATTTGGTCATTTTTAGGTAGTTAGTATCCTTGAGTATCATCTCTGAATTTATCCAATACAAATTCTCACCTACTATAACATCTAGTAGCAAAGAAGCCTACAGATTAGCTATATTTTATTGGAAGAACTCTGTGTGCCATTCACTAGCTTTATTTGATAACCCTTAGCTGCCTTACGAGAAGAGGAAAGGGTACAGTCAATCCCTATTTCCCCTCTCCACATGACTTAATGTCATTGTAAGATCCAATCAAAACGAAAGGAACCCTGCTGTTTCTCTTTTTTTTTTTTCTTTTCTTTTTCATTATTGCTTCTCAGTTTCTTGCCCAAGACTTTCTCTGCATCCATCATGCATTTGAGCCAAAACTCTGACATGTTTTTTGGCTCAGAGACTACAGTTAGGCTCTGGACTCAAATTTCTTAACTGAGACTAGCACTTGTCACATCTCCAGAGGCATTTGTGCTGTCCACAGGGATCTTCATGTCTTAAAATTGCTCTGCTGATAACCTGTAGTCAAACAGCTTAGGTTAGAGTGGAGTGAATGAGAGGAAGCGTATTCATGCAGCTCAAATTCTTGTCTCAGCGGAGGGGTGGTAACCACTAGCGCCTGCTGCCTCCTGCTTCCTGTTGGAGGCTGCTTGCCTGAGCTTTCCCTA